ATGTCTCAAAAACGAATACCAGTTTGTGGAAATAATATCAAGGAGATGGCATTAAGAATCTACAACCAGATTAAAGAAATGGAACCACAACTGTCAGCCCAGAAAAGAATCAAATTTGAATTTTCTGCAAATATGGGATGGATGAATGGTTTTTTAAAACACGCGCTGCAATTATCTGCAAAATTTGTGAAAATTTTTGGAAACGTTTTCCAAGTGGCATATTCACAGCTAAATTCCAGAAAACATTGATAGGGTAGTAGTTAAAGACCGCGTGGCTTTTTTATTGTGTTCTAATGCGTCAGAAGACAGGTATATAAAAACGTTACTTGTAAATCGAGCTCTAAAGTGTAAAAAAGTATGTATATCAGAGGTTTGAAGCTTTTAATGAACGGTTTCGTAAATATTTAGTTCCAGAATTTCGGGACTATATGAATGATAAAGGCCTTGAATAGAAGGTTATGTAAACTATAGACAATGCAACTAGTCATCTACATATAGAGTACCTAAATGTTGAATTTTGTCTCCTTTCGACAAACACCACTTCCTTGATACAACCACTGGACCAAGGAATTATTGCAACCTTTTACTAGTGGATAAAACACTTACCAATGATGAAAATCATTAATTTTGCGCTTCAGATACCCGGTGTCAAAGAATCCAGTGAAACTGACGACGAGATTTCCTCCCTTACCACAGATGTAATCAAGAGGGACTACAGCTGGCAGCTGAATTGAACGATCATTTTCATATGCATGATCCTAGTGATGACAGAATTATGTAACAGCCTTATAAAATCTGGAACACAACTATCGATAACAGAAATTGTAACTAGAACCACTAAAGCAATAGCACCACTTAAGAACGAAAACTCATCGAAAAGTGATACTAATTAAAAATTAATTTTTGCTTGTATTTATTCCAATAAATAATGTTTTTTGGATTATATTTATTAGTTCGTTATCTGGACTTAATGGTGGTTTAGACGAGAAAATAAAGAAACACCACGTTTGTGTAATATATCCTATGTCCATTAGCTTGGGAATATCGTTATAATACACAAATATGTTATCACATCTGGATGTCATATATTTATTGCTCGTTGTAGTTGGTAAACAATTTGTGTTTTTCATTATGATAAATTTAACATACGAATATGACATCATATAAATACCACACTAAATTTTGAAGGTTCAGTCAGACGTGAAAACGACGGCTGTTGATGCTTATTAATTAACTCTGGTGGATTTAAACATGGACATGTTGAAAGTGGATTGATATCACTATGTAGAAGTGGACGTAAATGTGATCCATTACTGCATCAATGTAAATTGTATCATTTTTGATCTATTCATTAGATATAGCGAGACCGTACTCAATTTGATATACCTTATCTTTTAAAATAAGGACGTATTTTATATATCACACGTGTATAGTTTGAGTCATTGACACTTAACAATCCACTTAAATAGGATTTTCTTATCTGATTAACAAATAATACAATCGTTAATATCAACTATTGTCTATAATGTGATTTACTTTAATTTCCGTGCATAAACGTCCGTGCATTTATCTCCCATACTAAATTTATGTACAATACCTCTTGAAACTCATTTAAATTTGATGCAACTTATAAGTACACTAAAATATTATTTTATTGAAATTAAAGGAATATAAAAGGAGATGTGTTTTATTCCCAAATCTAATACCTTTCCCATGGAATAATTGAAATCTTGATCAATGTTGTGTAAAAAGTAATCGTTATTACATTATTTCCTAGTGTGGTTTCTTGTAAAGTTTAGATTCTAATGATAATGGGAAGTTACACACCCTGGAGTTGCTGGTGCAGACTAATTCCCAGAATTTGGGTAAGTACATAGTAACAAAATTACTGTAAATAGGGCGTAAGCCCTACAAAAGCTTATCTTATGTTAGAGTTCCTAGCATTAATGACCTTGAAGCATTAACAACAAGCACTTGATGCATTTACAAAATTTGAGTTACTTTTATTTATGTTGAAGGTTCAGTATTCTGAGATAAATTTGAGACAAAATGATCTACATCATTAAAATCTTTGTATATATCTTTGGATTTCTCATTCATATAAGCACGAAGGCTTTCACATATCTCATTCATATTTGGTAATGCCATATTAGGTACTATTGTACCCACTTTTTCATTATCTACTTGTTTCTGTTAAACTTAATATTGTTAAATACCATTCTATATTATTGGCTGGTTCAAATGCCTTTCTTGTTTCTGTGTGTCCTTTAATGTTTTTTAAACCAGAAGTATATAATATTTTGAACAGGAACTTTCAGGTACTTCTCAATTGTAGGAACTGCTAGATTATCTTTAAGATTATGCGACGAGCCCAGTTAATCAACATAACTATTATCGTAGGTGACTGGTTAAATATTTTAATATTTATTCAAGTTAAACATCTAAAATCAACAATTGCATCTGTCACCCTATATCAAATTATTATGATACGATTTCTCAGCTGTGCTTGTATCGCTATCAGTATTAATACTAATTAATAGGGATTTCACATTTCTATTTCATACATTTTTGCCTCCTCTTTGATCATTATGATAAACACAACTTTTCCAATATAAAAATCTTAAAAAAGTCACCAAGGTACGTAATCCCAGATGTCATCCCTATCTGCTAGATATTACACCGTAGAACACTGCGACGATTGGCATTGCCACATCATAAGTACGTGGGGATGGCTTACCATCAATGTTCATGTGTCCTGATGATGATGAAAAACTGCTGATTCACAAAGTACTTTTAGGTATTGTGGGATTGAAAATTTTACAAAACTGCTGAGTGTAGGACGCTAAGCATGAATGAAATCATGAAAAAATTATTACATTTTGCATTGAATGCTAAGTTAATTTACAATATCATGTTTTACTTTCATTGTATTCCTTATGTCTTCATTTCTAATCCTTTCCAGTCTAGATTTTCTAGTAGCTCTTCTCCAGTAATCCATTTCTGTAGCTTTCTGTCTTATCCTTTATAGACCACTCTTCACAGCTATAAGTTATTATGCATCTAATTATTGAGTTGTATGTTCTGTGTGTGTTTCCGTTTATATAAACGTGTATAAACGATTTACTGGATTTTGCAGGAAACACAAAAAAGTTTTATCACGTCGGCGCGGCGTCGTATTGAAGCAGGAATTTGCACAAACTTTAAACCAATATTTCAGCAATTGCAGTTTGTTTGCGGTTATGTGGATTTAACTGTTGGTTGTAGAAGTCAAAATACCATTTTGATTGAACCATTTCGTTTATGTCGTTTTAGTTTGGCAGCGTTTATGTGCATATGTCTATATATTCAGTATACTGTTTAGCAGCTACTTTGCAAACTTCTTTCGGCTACCGCCTCGTCACGTATTCCCTCCCTCGATATTTTTACGCACAAGTATGAGCTGCAATATTTGATGTTTTGTTTGTTTGAGATAGGCAGATCTTTTTCCTCCAATACATATATATTCAGTTTTTTGCAAACTAACCTCTAAGCCCCATTTGTTATACTCTTCAATTAGGTTGCGTGGCATATATTCAGCATTATTAAATCACAACACTATCCATATGTACGCCTATTCTTTACCATTTCCTTTTCCATCTTAGTAATGCGCTTTCTAAATAAATTTTAAACTGTATTTTTTATTGTAAAGTTAAGGTATTTTCTATATCTATTCCTCTATCTCTCTGATCTCGCTGCTCAGAAGCCGGCTTGCTTATCTACTTCCATTGCACTGTATTCTTTTATTCTGTTTTTAAGTATCCTTCCATAAGTTCTATTGATAGTATTGGTTACCGATATTCTTCTATAATTGTCGCATTTATTCTTTTCCCCTGTCTTGTGGATTAGTAATAAGTATGACAAGTTTTATTCTTTGGTACTTCCGATCTACAGTGTCTGCCAAAAGGGCAACATTTTAAAATTTTTAAAAATTTTGGAATTAAATAAGATATGCAAAGAGCAATAGTAGCTCCAAACATTACAACTCAACAGGATTTTCACAGTATACAAATCCTTGAAGTTTTTATTCAATTTTTGACCAACCTGTATAAGATACTCTGATACAACAAATGCCAATCTATTTGATATCATCTGAAGAGTAATCATACCAAGTTAGAGCTTTCTTGAATGAATATTGGCTGAGATATGGGGTTTTAAAAGCATGGTGAAATTTACCAAACAAAAACGTAAAATCAAAATAACTCGAAAACGAAAAATGCTAGGTACCAGTAACATTTATCAAAGTCAACATATTTTTTCGCATACAATTAACACGTTCGCTGCCGAGCGACTCCGTTAACCATGGTTTAGATACGAGTTAACTCGTAGTCGGCAGCGAACGTGTTAAAAGGTGCAATAAAAATTATAGCATTCCATTTAAAATAACGAAGTTGAGGTCTACTTCCGGGGGACCGGAAGTGGCCACCATCTTGAAAATATCTTAGATCGAAAGATCGGTATGAGCCTCCCATATAAGCTAAATTTCAGAAACGTTGATATAATGAAACAGAAATAAAATGGGTGTTGTTTACTTTTTGGAGAACACTGCATGACACAAGAAAATGTTAATAACTACATGATGATTTATTGGTGCACCTGTTTCGATAAAAAAAGAGATGCGGTTGTTTATATTTTAACGTCTAATCTAATCATGGACAGCACTGATTGTCCTAAGTCAACACATTTTAAATTATGCAGGGAATCTAACAAGTATTTTTTAGGTTTACCTAAAATAAATAATCCAAACCGATGGTTATCAGCGCAAATAACCAAAATTGGTATAATATAATTATTATATTTAGCTCGTTGACGATTATCAAATTGCCGTATTACAGCATCAAATATCTGCCAATACATATACAATAAACCATTCTATCTCGAAAGATAATTTATCTCAATCATGTGTGTTATATCAAGGCAACAGTTTGGTAAGCACTCAAAAGTGGTGATCTGGTCGTAGCAAAATGAGCTTAGGTTGTTGTAATATTACCCTACTGGTGCTCGGTATTTTTGGACTTGTTCTTGTAGTTTTGGGACCAATCTTAGGATATGTTGTGTTTCCTCCTATAGTTGACGATGAAATTATTGAGGTACGTATATTTTAAAATAATTTAAAATATTTGAAGTTTATTAAACTTTAGGGACATATCTAGAAATTTTAATTAACAACTAAATTGATTACTTCAAACCTAAAAATTTCTGGATTTATCTATTTCTGATAAAACTGGCCGCGAAAGCCTTCTGACTGTTACTAAAGTTTAATTTCAAATTCAAATTAATTCTATTTTAGTAATTTCTGTTATAAACATATTTCATGATAAAATATTAAATAAAAAATAATTTAAAAAACAAAAAAAATTTCATTTTTTACAGTTTTTCATTCGTTAATTCTGTTAAAGATTTGTAAATTGATTAAACCAAACTTTTTAAGTACTATTCCAATGTACAAAGTTTTAAGTATATTTTGTCTGGAATCACATGCTTTATCAGATATCGAATTATTTTAATCTGATAAAAGGACGTATGATTTCTTTCAATATTAATCATCAATTAGGTATTTTTTAATTACAATTGACTAACGTTTTGTCTTAAATTATACGTATAAGAAATATTTTATCAACCACCAAGATATCAATGAGTTTAGTAATATATCTATATACGAAATTCATTAACTAATTGCGTTTTGATGTTATTTTAGAGTGTTCGACTTGAAGAAGGTTTAGAACAATTTGATCGATGGGTAACAACACCGGTGCCATTTTCATTCAAGGTATATATTTTCAACGTGGAGAATCCAGATGATATTTTAAGAGGAAGTAAACCAATTCTTAAGGAATTGGGACCATATGTTTACAAGTAATTTAATGCTTCCTTTTTAAAACGTTCAATCATTGATTTAAAAACTTTAGGCAACATCGAAAAAAAGATGTTTTAAACGTAAACACAGAAACCGACACATTAGAATATACGCAAAACTTAGAATTTGAGTTTGACGCAGACGCATCCGAAGGAACTGAAAATGATGATGTAACAGTTCTAAACGTGGCATTACAAGTAAATACGACCACTACCTTATTAATATTATTTATTGAATTAAATTCTGAGTTTAGGGTGTCTTACAAATTGGTGAAGATGCCGCCAGCTTAACACTTAATAGAGTATGGAATAAAATGTTCCAAGACTCACCATCGATTTTCCACACAATCAAAGTAAAAAATCTTCTTTTTGACGGTTATAAATTTTGTATTCCAAGTGATATGGTAGGAGTAGAGTACAATATAGCTAGATCCGCATGTAAAGATGTTCGCACTCAAGCCGAGTCTAGTCCGACGCTTGTTGTTGACTCTGACAATGCAATTGTATTCTCTTTCTTCAAACACGTAAGACCTTATTAAGAACTTAAAATTTCAACACGATTACAATATTTTTCTGATTTAGAAATCTGTAAACGCCGATGGACCTTACATTATCAACGCGGGAAACAATGACGTTCATCAAATTGGAGCTATTCAAAGTTGGAATGGCGTTGAATACATTTCCAGTTGGAATGAAATCGGAGAAAACACATGCAATAAAATTCGTGGAAGGGATTCCTCCATTTATCCACCTTTCAATAACGATACCAGTGAATTCGAAATTTTCAATTCTGATATTTGCAAGATAGTAAAATTGCGGACTAAATACAGTTCTTCTTATGAGGGTATTGACGGTAACGTGGCTAAATTGGAGACAAACACCTTCACAAACGTTGGAAATGGAGACTGTTATTGTACAAAAGGTACTAAAGACTTGAACGGAGAATATGAGTGTTTCCCAGAAGGGTTTGCTGACATGAGAACATGTACTGGTAAATATAAAATTTACTTATTTCTATTTTTAATGTTTTAATTTTTGAAATACTTATTTAAAGGAGCCCCAGTGGTTGTATCCTTCCCACATTTTCTTTGGGCAAAAGATTACACAGAAACTGTTGAAGGATTGTTAGCCGATGAAGACGAACACAGCACTTTTGTAATGATTGAACCCGTAAGATAATTTTAGCCCAAATTTCTTTTTTCAGTTATGAAAAATGTTTAATTTAATTATAGGGAACTGGTACCCCTTTGCAAGGAGCTAAACGAATACAGTTCAATATGGTGGTACGTCCACTACGCGATTTTGACTTAACAGTAGATGTAACTCCATCAATGTTTCCAGTATTATGGGTTGAAGAAGTAAAAATTAGTTTTAAAAATATTTGATCCAATACTATATTTTTTTATTATATTTATTTTTAGAGTGTAGATTTATCGGATGATTTGGTAGAAAAATTAAAAGACGATTACCTCAGTAAACTCGTTGCATTGGACGCGGTAACTTACACTTTGCTTGCAGTTGGAATAGTTTTGTTCATCGGTGGTTTTGGTGGATTTTTCTTCAGAAGGTGCTAGAGATCATAAATACTATTTCTAATAACTTACTCTTAAGTTATAATAGCGAATAGTAATAGTTTGAGTTTGATACTGTGTAGATATTTTTATTATGTGACATTTAATTCCAATAAATTAATAAATTAGTTATTAATCTATTTTTGTCGTTAGTTTTTGTGTGTTTTTTAAATTTTCTTTTAAATATACGAGTAATGTACGAAATTATTCACATTTCTGTCATCAAGAAAACACAGTCTCAAATCGAATCTAAACTGTTGGCCAAATTTCCGCGTTGTTAGAAGTGTTGGTCCAGACTGGTACGATCCAGCAGTGTTGACCATATGAAACCGTGGTGTCCAAGTAATTTATTTGAGGCGGCTGAAGCACAGGACAGCCGAAATGTGGGATTCCCCCTTGCAAGCACTATCGAGTCAGGGGATAAGACTATTGAGCCAGTTGTCATGAGATTCCGAAGAGCGATAATCCGATTCTTGAGAAGTTCCAATTAAATAAACATTTAAGGGACATATAGAGATTAGATAGAATAAAACAAAATATAACGCATGTATAGTTAACATAAAGTAGACGAACAGCTATATGATGATTGTCAAGTTGTCAGTCCATTCGTTCATCTTAGCTGTTGATGTACCGACATTTCAGCCAAACGGGTGACCAGTGCTCGGCAACACTGTAGACAAATCTTAGGGCCGAGCATCGCAGGGTTACAGCTGTTGATCTCCACGTCATACCATATAGTTTTTAAACGATATTGTTTCTTGTACGTACACTATGTATAGTTTTTTCAGGTGTGAGCGATATGGTACGTATAGATCCTGTTTTTTACGCCATAGGGTGCCCACCAAATCAAATATCCAGCTGATGTATAGGCTATTTGTTTTTAAACTGGATGTATATGTACTGTGTTTCGTTTGGATTAGGTGTCAATAGTTTTTCTGTAATACTCGCCCATCACAACCAGATCGATGGTCAGATTTCCCTTCTTCTCCTTCACAATTCTTTTATGTTTGAATGAATTGGCGCAAGGACAGATCCTTGTGGTAATCCGTTATTTGATATTATTGTGTAGGTTTGTGTTTGTTCCTAAATGACCAGGAAGGACCTATCAATGAGAATGTTATTCAGCAGCAAGCCTAGTGTCTTACAAGGGATTTCACTTAGGAACTTAAAAAGCAGTAGACGGCAGATGTCTTCTCCTAGTTTTGAAAACCAGGCTCGAAATAAGTTGTGAGGCTGAAAACCTGGCCCACGCAGCTGCCGCCCTGTTAAAAAAAGTTAGAACAATTAAATACATAGAAGAAGAAGTTGAGGATAGTATTCTATTGAATAACGATATCGTCGTTATCGTTAAAATAATGTAACATACTAATCTGGTCTTATGTTAATGTCGAACGCCATTGATAGTATTCTGAATATTTCACTTTATTTCTTCATCAAGAAATTTTTATGCAAGATTACAAATCAAGCAGTCATTAGAGTTTACAAACTATATAATGAAAATAAATCCAGGAAAATGCTAGCCTTTCATTAAAACGGTGAAAGTAGGTTATAGGAGTATATCACCTTATATCACCAAGTGTGTTACATTGCAGAAACAAAAATACAGCAGAAATGTGGAGACCAGATGAATCAATTGGACTGATTTAACTACAAAGTTATACACCCGCCAAGGAAAATAGCAGGATAAATTAGCACCAATTAGATAATTATTTGGTAAATACTTCAACAACTATCGACAGCCTATTATACTGCATGTGATGTTAATAATCGAGAACAATCGAGACACCGATAGTTTCATTTCTGGACATAAAGACATCGTACCTTTATAACATGCAAGCTTATACAGGAAAACAAGATGAAGGTGTGGTGAAAAATATTTTGATACTCCTATACAAAACAGTACGAAGTGTGATAACAGACTTATTTTATAAGTACGAAGGCTTTCACGGCCGGGCCGGTGTGAATTAAACTAAGATTAGAACTAAAACTAGAACTAACACTAGAAACTTTCGGGTTTTGCCGTGCGTCTTTTAATAAAAGGTTTGACGTTTCGGATGCCACGGAAGTTTCTGAAGAAGGTTGCAACATGGCATCCGAAATGTCAAACCTTTTATTAAAAGACGCACGGCAAAACCCGAAAGTTTCTAGTGTTAGTTCTAGTTTTAGTTCTAATCTTAGTTTAAGACTTATGTTACTTATTACACAAAATACTATTCTTGGAACTGTGCAAAAAATATTCCACAAGAACTGAAAACACCGGTAAAGTGAACGCAAAATATTACGATGCTAGCATAACATTGCATACAGAGAATGATTCATGTGTTATCATCTAAACATCATGATGAAAAGGTATTTGAAAAGGATCATCGGAAACCAACCGTAATTTTGGATTATAATACCACTAAGAGCAGCATTCATAACGCAGATAAATTGATTCGTGAGTATAATGAATAAATCGGAAATTTTTTGGTGTGAATTTACTTTACTATGACTCACACATCATATGGTATCAGAATCGTTAAAAAATAAAATCATAAATTTCGTCATTATTAAAATTTTTGCAAATTATTCGTAAACCGTGCAATAAAAAATGTATTTAACATGATCACCACCTGGCCAAGTAGGGTGGCTTAATACATATCGAATTTGGAGTTTCTATCTTGAAATTTGGACGTCAAAAGTCTATACCACAACCTATGGGACATCCTGTACAATGGTTAAAAAGCAAGATATAAAACCATTTTTTTGAATGAAAAAAATGGAAAGCGAAACAACACCACCGATAATAGTCATTGCAGTCATGCATGGTACACAACACAAATTTCACCAACGAATATCTATCTATCCAACATACAATTTACCAAAAAAAAACAAGATCTTCTCAATAAGGGACACAAGTACTCAATACCAACATGTCAATTAAACCTACCTAAAATAGCCCTAGATATGGAAAATGTGATTGGAATGCCGGAGGAAGATGGTTTAAGAAAGGATCTCATGGAACTCCTAAAAAGAAAAGAACACGAAAATGAAAACAGAAACGATACATTTACCAACCCTTACACTAACCAATAGGGAAGAAGAAAATAAGATCTTAGGTAAGATAAAAAATAAAATAAAAATTAATTTTCTCATTGTTACACCCAAGGAAAAATTTACTTTTAACGTAATCGAAACATTCTTGAATGACGAGGAAAAATTTTTAGTGTAAACTAAATTGTTTGGTTTAACTTATGAATCTTTTTGGTAGAAAAATTTTGAAATGTATAAATGTTTTTCTAAAATAACGACACCTGCGTTTTAACTGCGTTTGAAAATAAAATATTTTAAAACAAATGTTTTTTTATGAAGTTTTTAGTTATTTATATATTTTTAATTTAAATTAAAGTAAATAAAACAATTAAATCATGTATCCATACTTTTATTGTCCTGCTTACTGGTGTATTAATAAAATTTGTTTTGCTTACACCACCATTTTAAACAATCAACAACTTAACAACTTAACAACTTAATGATAATATTAATCAAAACAGATAGTTCTTTATTATACTGTAATAACCCGATGATAAATTAACACATCTCACAGTTCCTTCAATTGCTTCTAGCATAATGATGTGGTTGCGAAATATTGCAATAGCATTCTTGTTTAACATCGCGATTGTTAATTCTAATATAGAAGATGAATCTACTATTTCAGAAGAACTCATTGAGGTAGGTAATAAAAAGAAATAAAGTTTGACTAATATATTTTTGTTTTATCGAATTCATCGAATTTTGTATAGTGATTATTTTGTAAGCAATTTATATTTATAATTTTTATAGCTGTTGCGGTTAAAACAAGGTACTGAACAATTTGATAGATGGGTTTCTACTCCAATGGATATTAATTTCAAAGTATACGTCTTTAAGGTACATAATGTAGACGATATCATGAATGGAGCAACACCTATTGTTCGCGAAGTAGGACCTTACATTTACAAGTACGTAATAAATAAATAATATAATAAGTAGTATATGAATTACTTCAAAAGAATGATTTTTTGCTTTTTCACATTTTAATTTTTATTTTATCGAGTTACCTTTTTTTTATTTTGTTGTTAATGTAATAAAATCTCGAAACCCCTTTTGAATATACAGTGCGTCCGTAAAGTAGTGTAAAATAGTAGTATAAAATCCATAAAATCATTGTAAACGGTATATGGAAAAATCCCTGAAACGAGTCTAAAGATTTATATTTTTTCAAACAGCAATCTCTCAAAGAGGATTTTTTTCTGAATGTAGTACAGTTAATATTAATATTTAGGTATTATGTTAAAAGATAATAAAACAATGTTTATTTTTTACTAGATGGATGGTTATTTATTTTTGGCTCTACCGGTTTCAAATGTTTTTTACATTCATCTTCAGGAGCATGCCACCTATTACATTAAAGAGAAAACTAATTGAATTACATTTACAAATCAAAACTTAACTTTAAAAAATATATTAGATCTGTTTTCGTAAAAATGTTTGTTTGTTATAACTTACGTTGAAATTGTATATTTTTAAGCACATATTTCTTTTCTCTCAAAGGTCTTTTTGTGCTGTTGGTTTTTCCCTCAAAAACATATGTATTTTAACACTTTTTCCTTAAAAAACTAACGTTATTATATGTTATTCTTTTCGTTTGACTTCTAAAGGTCACCTTGTTGTTGATGTCTCTCCTGCGGCCACGCCCGGCCCGCCCGGCATGAAACGAATGGCAACGAAGTTAGTCGTAAAATTTAAATTTAAATTTATCCATGGCTTTTTAAGAAATTGTGTTGTAAAAGAGGAAACAATTAATTGGGAGGTAAGGAGAATAATAAAATGAAAGGGATACAGTAAGGAAAAGAGGAATGTTGGTTGCCAGGGTACCCAGAATGTTGCGATGATCATACTGCAACCGTGGTATGACAAACTTGGATCTGTCTCTGTTCTTGTGCTCTCTAATCCTCGTTTTTAAAGATCTTCCCGTCTCACCTATATAAATTGCTTGGGAAGTTTCACAAATAAGTTTGTAAACACCATTACTGTCTAGTTTGTTTATCTTGTCCTTATTGTTCATCAACAGTTGGTTTATTGTGTTATTGCTCTTGGAAGTTATTGTTGTTATGTTTCTTAAAGATCTTACCTATTTTATTGTTTATGTCTCCTTGATGGGTTATAGTTCTGTATGTTTTTTCTTTGTTTTCTTGTTGTATGTTTAATGTTGTCAAGTTATTACGTGTTATTTTGTTCTTTTGTTTTCTATGATTTTATCTATAACTTCGGGGTGATATCTGTTATTTCTACCTATTTGTTTTATTATTTCTGTTTCTTTTCTTATTTCGTCCTCTCCCAGTTTATATCGAAGATTCTGTCAATGTATGCTCTGAAGGTTTATACAATTTATGTGTGTAGTCATGTTGTGAGTGTTCTGGGATAGTTATATCCATTTGTGTCTTTTTTCTATAAATATCCATATGTATTCCATCATTTGTCTTTTTTAACGTCAAGTCCAGGAAGTTTATTTTATTGTGTTGTTCTGTTTCCAATGTAAACGTTGTTTTCGTGTAACGTTGATATAACAATGTAGCTCTTTAATAATGTATTCATGCGTTATATCTTTGATGACAAAGATATCGTCTACATATCTTTACCATAGTAATATATTGTTCTTATGGGGATTTTTGTTACTAGTATTAATAATCATTTCATTCTCCAGATTGTCGACAAAAATGTCAGCTAGCATACGACTAAGAGGTGAACCCATTGGAAGACCCTGGTTGTAAGTGTAATATTGTTTGTTAAAGCTGCAGAAATTTTGTTTTGTGCAAATTTCAAATAATTTGTATATGTTATCACTGTCTGTTTTATTGTTAATTTTTTTTTCAATATATATTTAACAATCTGTAACGTGACTGAGGTTGGAACGTTTGTATATAGGTTTGTGATATCAAATCATAGCATAGTATATTCTTTAGGAAGTTCTAGTTTTTCAATTCTTGTTAGGAATTCTCTTCGGTTCTTAATTGTGTATTTTGTCCTGAATCCAGTTGTGTCTTTAAATATGTTTATTAGGAATTTTGATATCTTATAGGTGCTGGAGTCTACTGACGATATTACCGGTCTAATATTCATATTTGATTTATGTAATTTTGGAAAGGAATATAAACGTGGCATTTTGGGGTTCATAGGTAAAAGTTGTTTGGGGTTTTTATTATGTTACAAGATTGTTTCTTCAGTATCCTTTATTACTTTCTTGACTTGTTTATGAAAATTTTCTAAAGGTTTTTTTTTGATGTTATTCCATCAATGTGGAGTCAGACGTGTAGGCCTGAATTGCCTTTAGGGCGGCCCGACTATCTGTTCAAAACGGTGCAGAAGTTTATAGCAAGAACTTCTGCTTGAAAAATGGGTATGTCCGAGCTAATTGGTCTACTAATGTCCATACCCACTCCGGATCCAACTGTCTTTGAAGTATCGGTATACCAGGGCTCATCTTTTAAGTTGAGGGTCACTCTTCGTCCAATCATCGCTGCTTCTAAATATGACCATATACGGCTGGTCGAAATTATATTTTGTCGGTATAAGGTCCATTTTAATTTCAATCAAGTGGTTTAGACATGGGTCCTTAAGGATTTCAGGATATCCTCTGAGGGTACCCTGCATCAACTTGAGTGAACAGCATATTTTCAGTGAGAAGACTGATAAGGCACTTAAAGCTCCTTTTGTATTTATAAATGAAGTGTGTGAGACCGAGTAGAGCTTCAAGAGCAGCCGTCGCGCAAAATCTTATTATTATTATTGTTATATTAAGACATGCTCACCGCTGGATTTATGCTAGCTGTTGTTGTGCTGTCTTATTTGTTTTTGACAACAAACCAGTGAGGCATAGGCGACCATGGGTCTGATTATTGCTACGTAGCTCCAGTGAGTCATTCGTGGTTTAAGACTCCAGTTCCTTCCAAGGACCCAGCGGGAGTTCTGGTTAGCCATAATGGCTTTTTTCCTCACATTGACTATGTGGGAGTTCCAGTTTAATTTACTGTCTAGTATTACCCCTAAGTATTTGACTTCTGTTTAGAGGTTAATAGCTCTAGCTTGATTGAAGGGTGCTCTCAGATGTAGTTTTCTTCTCCGAGTGAATGGAACTATTTCTACTTTGTTCTAATTGCTACCCATTATTTCTGCACCAGCTGCTAATATGTAGTAGGCCTTCTTGCATTAATTGGGTTATGATTGTGTCATATATATCTCGGATTGCGATTACAAGGTCATCTGCATATCCCTGAATCGTGAATCCATTCTCTGTTAGTATATTCAACAGGTCGTCAATTACTAAGCCTATGGTGTCTAGTATAACGGTGAAAGCATTTCCCCTTGGGAGCATCCTCTAACTGCCTTAAGAGTCAAAGACTCGCCAGCCAAAGTGGCTGTGAAAGTGACTTTTCAGCATGGCTATACACCAATTACTCGTTGATGGATGGATACGTTCTACGTAAGCACCCTGAGGGATTAAAATTAGAAATAGCATTTTCCCAGCTAAGCTGCGAATCCTGCCAGATTGACGGGTAATATCGATTACTTCTGGATCTTACCAACAGAATCAACAGTTAAAATTAGTTTTTATTAGTTTGCCTTCAATGGAGGGTACTTTCAATTGCAGCTTCCTTCTCCGAGTGCAAGACTTTGTTTGGATTACTGCTGAACCCAGTTTTTCTACACCAAGTGCTAGTAAGTAGTAGGGGTTTCTGCATCAGTTGTGATTACCAGGTCATCAGTATGTCCCGTTATGGAAGGAATGATATCGTTTTGAAAAAATCTAAACATCTCTCTCCAGTTAAGGTTTCCTCAAAAAAGTAAGGGCCCATGATAGTATCCCGCACTATTTCGCTCCACACATCGATCTTTAGCGGATAATGCGTGCACGACTTTCTGGCCCAATGTGGATTTTGAGTAGCCCAATACCGACAATTTTGTCAATTTACTTGTCCACTCAACTATAAATGTAAATGACGAAGTCTTCGTCGTCGTTGCAAAATTATTCTTGCAAAAACGATGACTCATTGCTCATGAATGAGGTTTCCTTTATAGGGATGATATTTTGCGATTTTTAATTTTGTGAACCGTTGATACTACTATACTAATGTACAGATTTGACCTAATACGTCTTACAGTAGGGTTACAGTAGTAGTAGGGGTTTCTTGCCAAAACCTCGTTTTATTGAACCTCCCCTGAAACATTTGATCGGCCAGACTTCGAGAAATCTTGTAGATGCCCCTAGAGTAGCATCTAGAGTCTAGAGTAGACACTTAGAAAAGTGTTTTAAAAAAATTTAAATCTTTTGACCCGTTTCAAGGAATTTTCCATAAACCGTTTGTAATGATATTATCGCCTATATCCCCTACTTTACGGACGCACTGTATAATAATTAGGAAATAATAAATTTATTTTTCAATACAACTTCATTACTTTATGTTCTTATTGATTATATTAATCTTACAAGTGAAGATGTAATCAGAAACCGTTCAATAAATGATTCCTATAGGCAACTCTTTCTACAAATTAAAATTGAGCATTTACATTTCTGTACAGTGTGGAAATGAAGAATCAATTCATTGGTTAATTACTTCTACTAAATAGACTGAAAGGATTTCATTTACAGACAATAGGACAAAAATCGAGATAAAAACAAGTCAGGTCAACAAGTAGCAATATGAAAAAATCAGTCAACATAAAGATCTTTTTTATTTTTTATATATTGTGGATTCCAGGTACATCGTAGAAATCAGAATAAAAGTTCATAGAATAAGTCCAACTTTTATTCTATAAAGATCTTGTTTTCAATTACAAAAAATGAATGGAAAAGAATCAATATTGCATATTTTTCACAGAGAATAAATCGATGAGCTGGACAATTCTGTATTTTATTACGACTATTTTCTCGCCGATATTGGTTTATATGAAAATTAACCTCTTATAATCTTTTATATCTTTCTTTCTAACTCCCTTCTGTAACTTTTTTCCTCCAGTCCGTTTCGTAGTCGACTTCTCCTTATTCTAATTTTTAGCTCAAACAGATTTCTGCATAATTTGGTATATAATGGTTATAATATCCAGATTTCTCTAAAAAGATTCTAATATCCCTTTTTTATCGATCGTCGAAATTCTTCTATTGCAGCTACATTTGCTGGTTTTTTCTCATAATTAATTGATCAAGATTGATTTATGTAGATAGGATACAAAAAATAACTTTATTAATTTGATCATATTTTATTAAAAAAAGAAAAGGTATTTCACATGCCAAAACGTTTTCAATTCCAAAATGAATGGAAAAGAATCAATATTGCATATTTTTCACAGAGAATAAATCGATGAGCTGGACAATTCTGTATTTTATTACGAATATTTTCTCGTCGACATTGATTTATATGAAAATTAACCTCTTCTAGTTTTTTATATCTTTCTCTTTCCCTTCTGTAACTTTTTTCCTCCAGTCCTTTTCGTAGCCTACTTCTCACTATTCTAGTTTTTAGGTCAAACAGATTTTTGCATAATTTAGTATATAATGGTTATAATATCCAGATTTCTCTAAAAAGATTCTAAAATGCCTTTTTTATCGATCGT